GAAGTTACCATATAATAGGAAATCAACTTTATAGGTATATATGTAAATAATTTTAACAAATTTGTTAATTTATAAGTAATCATATAGTGGAGGTAATTATAAAATATTTTTTTATTGTGAACGTGTAGCGTGCAAATTCCTCTTTTTGTTACTAGTTAGAGATGTTAAAAGGTTCTTGGCCCGACAGGTCGACCCGTTTAGCCTGAAAAAAAAAAATACAGGGTTAGAGCTCTTTATTGGTATCCTGTTTAAATCAGGGCTTTTTAGGCCCAGATCGTTTAGCCCGAAGCTGCTAGGGTTAACCCGTTTAACTTGGTTGAGCGGTGTAAATGTTTGCAGCAGGGAAAGAATATGCCCCAAGATTCATTGTATATTAAAATTTTGCTATTATACTCCACATGTAAGTATAAGCTTTAACGTTTTATTATGATTTTGAAAAATAATTTTAACAATTTTGTCATTCTAGTTCACAAACAAAATATTTAACCCAATCAGAACGGCTAATAGAAAACACATGAGATAAAGAAGTTACAGAATATAAATTCAACAATATGATACAAAATCGTGAAAAAAATCTCAAAAGTACAAAACAAGTAGTAAAATGGTAATTATAAGTAATAGTTCGAAGTTTTTTTTTTTCTTTCTTTTGAGAAAGAAATATGTTATTTAAGAGTTTGTAATGTGTGTCACATATGAAGTGTAGTCGTATATATAGAGCGGTAAATACTAAATAGACGTTAAAAACAATAGTTAACTAGCCGTTGTAATTTTTTATATATTTTTTATTTTTGATATATTATTATTATTACTATAGCCCGTATAGCTTGTTTACTCCGAAGCCCACTAGGGTTAGTGTTAAGTCCATTTATTAGTAGTCCGTTTAAATTCGGACTTTTTAAGCTCGGACCGTTTAGCCCGAATCCCATCAGGGCTAGCCCGTATAACCACTCTATTGCTAGTATTTAAATATGTGGACTCTGTACAAAATCGGTTCTCAATTCTCATCAAATAATGATTCTATATTATCAATTTTGAATTTTAAATAGTTACAATTATAAACTTCGTAATACATAATGTAAATTTTAATAATATCTTTGTAATAATAAAGTCAGATGACTAAAAGTATCATAATATAAGTAAATTTTAATAATCTCTTTGTAATAATAAAGTCCACAAATGACTAAAAGTATCATAATATAATATATTTTAGTTCTTCTCATCACAAATATTGTCAATATTTTAACAAATGATAGACTTCTCAATATTGTCTCAATGTTTTGTTTTGTCATTTTGAAGAATCAAGAAAATATATTTATCTTGAGTTTTCGAAGCATTATATATGAGGCAAATAGTTGGACAAAAAAAGCATTAAAAAAGTTATTAGACATATAAATTTTACAAATTTGGACAAATGAGAAAGATATTATGATAAACAATTTTAAAATTGTTGAAACAATCAAGATGGATAATGATTTGTAAACAATAGATTATGTAGTTTGTCTATCTTCGAAATAAATGACCTTGAAAAGGGAATGTCTGAGCTTGATAAAAATGTTTTTGAATGTTTGAATGATGTTGTCACTTTTTTATTGGAATATTTACAACTCATTAGTGTATTGTGTTCGAATATATGCGCAATTACTGTAGAGTGCATATTTTCATGCAATGTGTGATGATTTTAAAAAAATAATTTAACGCATCGAGAGAAGTACATGTAACCAAAACTTTAGACAGTTAACTTTTATTTGGAGATAAAATTCGTTCCCACCGCATGGGACGATACTTCCATGGGGTAGGCACCATAATGTAGCAGCTTATACAATGATAAGGAAAAAATACGGCAATTATAATGACACGGTAGGTTATTTCACATATATATTCATGAGTTGTTAGTAAAAATATTTTATAAAGATCATACAATCATGAAGTTTGTCTATATACTTTGCAAAAATATTTCTAAGTATTTGAATAAAGTACACGCTTTGCCAAATAAATTAAAAAGAATTTTGCAATATTATTGATGTATTAGACTCCAATAGTATGAATATACTTTATGAGAATGTCAAAATCAAGTTGAACGAAAACCACTTTTGCATCATCTAACATGAATAAATAAAAGAATTAACGCATCTATAATATACATGATACCCTTATTTAATTATTTAGGGTGTGTTCTCATTAGAGACACTCAATTTTCATATAATTTTGTGGGGTTGTAACATATTATTTCATTCTTTTCATATCATGACATCATTATGTTATTTTTTAAGAAAAAAAAAATTAAGAACTCGTTTGTTCTACATTTTATTTTGTTCTTGCAATGATATATTCAATAAATTAATTAATTTATTTTATTACATTTGCCAAAAACATTCACCGCATTAATGCATGTTCATTTTACTAGTATTTTAAAGTGTCCTGTTGATTATAAGATTTTTTGAATTTTGTGCAGAAATGCTGGCAGAGTTGTTAAGGAGGGAAAAGGAGGCCAATATAGTGCCTGATCCTGATGTGGATACATACATGAAAGTAAGAATTACATATGCATAAGTGATGCAAAATAGTGACAATTACAAAGTTATGCTTGAGGTTTTGATTAATTGATGAAATAATTTAGGTAATTACTTTTAATATCAGAAACCCAAATAGTTTTTCATTCTTTTAACAAATACCAGATGCATATTATCAATAAAAATACTATAGATTGCAAAGTCTGAGATATTGTAAATTATGAAATTTATTAATTTCAGATTGGGTTCTGCCAATAAAAATACTATAGATTGCAAATAAAAAATAAAATATAGCAAAAAAATATTTTACACTAGTTTTTATTGAAGTTTTTGAAATGCATATAATAATTATTATTATTATTTTTTTTTAATTGTGATAGTAGATTTGTAGAGAAAATTGTGTGATGAAATATACAATATTTCTCTTTTAAAAAAAAAATCAATGGGTCAACCTTGATAT